ATTCTTAGTTTTTCTTTAAAAATTGTATATAATTAAACAAAAATACTTATATATATATATTATATATATATATAGGTTCTTGAGGGGTATAATTGGGAGACAATTAGGTGTAATTATAAGACATAATGTTTAAGAAAAAGAGAGTACAATTAAAGAAAGTTTCATTGGGACAACCATAATTGAGTCAATAGTTTACTTTTTTATTTTGTGAACAAATATACACGTACACGGTGAAGGAAGGAGATACTGTAACATTTCAAGTCCACCGCTAGCAGATATTCTCTTATTTGGACTTTTCTTTTCCTACAGAAAGGACGGAATGAGGTAATCTCACAAGAAAATGAAAGAGCAAATAGAAAAAGAAAGAACGTCATTCCTATCTTCCGAAGCACCTTTACCGAGTTCAATCAGTCCAGGTTTAAGGTTTCATCTTTCTCTTTATTACCTCGTTCAATCAGGTTCAGAAGTAATAGTCCAGGGGTTCCGTCGAATTAATCTGGAGTCTTTACTGACGAAAAAGAAGAATCAAATGAAATCAGTCCGATCCTTTGTAGGAACTACCTGTAATAACGAACTTGCAAAATGAATCAGTTTATCATAAAGAGATTTGATGTTCCTGACTCTGCTTCACCTTAATTGTTATTTGAACAAGTAAAAGTTATGGTTTGGTCCGAGTGGGGATAGTATTTCTCTTCTGCATGTCCATGAAGTTTTGAAAAATCCAAACATCTCAGAGATCGATAGAGAGGTAAGAATTTATCGAACGAACCGCACTCCTTTATATACGTCAGGAGTCCATAGATGAGAAGGGGTTGGAGAAAGCTTGAACGCCAATTCCTACTGTGATGAATATAAGCACAATTGAAATTCCTCGAGAGTATACATTTGTGAGTTTTTCCTTAAGATTGTTAAAACGTGTCTTACTAGAGAGGAGCTTACATGTTAATTGTAAAGAATGCTTCGTTCCCTTCTCCAATCGATGTGAGATATCACATATACGAATTATATTCATGCGGACCAAACCCTAATCCTATGTTCTCTCACAATCGAGTCAAGGTGAAGATTGACAAATTTGGATGGAGTCTTGCTTTGATGCTATCGAGATCTGTATAGAATCTCCCTCTTCAAGCTCAAATTTCGATCAACAAATTGGAGCTCGAGTAGTATTCAATTTGATAGAATTGAACAATTATGATCCAAACGATGCAACTTAGAGTTTAGGGTCTTTTTTTTTTTGTTACATTTCGTGACGCTCGGGCAAAAAAGAGAAATACAAATAAACAGATACCACGTCTGTATAACAATAGGGCTGAATTGAACCCGAAATTAATTAATGCTAAAGGGATTTAACATTCATTGAATTGTTTGAAATAATTGAATATTATTTTGATGATTAAAAGTGAAAGAGAGATTAAGCTAATGATTATGGATGATAAAATAAGAAAAGCTTCACTAATACGTTTGTTTCATCTTTTTTAATGATACTTGGTTGAATTTATTGATTAAATTTTCTATCTTAATTAACCTCATCATTCCCAAACTTTTAAAACCTAATTTATATGAAACTCAATTGTCTTTATGTTTACAAATGTATCAACTTTTGGTATGCTACCGACAAGGTGCACGCTCTACTTTAAGAAATATTTCTAGCGTTTCGAGCATTAAGTACGATTTTATTAAGAAAAATAGCATTTCAAAAATACCCTTCAACCTTAAAAAGTTTTATTAATATCTTTCAACTTTTTAAAAAATTTCAAAAATACTTACTGTTAGTACTATGTTTAAAAAGTACCAGGGGTATACATTCAACCCGACAACCCGGACCAACCCAACTCGAACTACAAAGATTGGGTTGGGTTGGATTAGCTTTTCAAGTTGGTTTGGGTTCATTTTCTGAACCTGAACTGACTCGATTCGGTTTTGGGTTCATAAGACAAAACCCTCGAGTTGACCTGAGCCAAATAAAAATATATAAAATATACTCAGAAGTTCCCATTCATGATGGGTTTGCATACTTTCTCGTAATTCATAACATTCACAAAATACTTCTAGCATTAACACCCTTAATTTTATATAAAAAAAAAGTTTTTACTGTTAATACATGGACGGAAACTATGTACTGGAACTTCATAGATTATCTATTTTTTAAGATATTTTATGAATATTTTTGAAATGTGACACTAATCGTGCTAAAAGTATTTTTAAAATTTTCAAAGATATTAATAAAAATTTCAATTTTTTTTTTATTAATTTAGTTTATTTTTACTGAACCTCTCGCTCTCTATATATATATATGATATAGATTCATTCCTTAGGTTGATGTTGAACGCACGAATATATAAAATTTTCGATGAAAATGTCGATGGAAATATAACGTCGTGAAATATCCTAAAATTCAAGACTTTGGCCAATAAAAAAAATTAAAAATGAGAAAGGCCAAAAATGTCATTTTACATCAATTGAAGTTGGTTTGAGGGAGTGAATGTTTGATAAAATGGATGTTCATCCACAATTTTTCTAAACGGTAGATGAGGGGTCAAATCTCATCTTTTGTCGAATTAAAAAAAATCTTCACATCCTTCTAATACGTTAATAAATATGGTTTCTTTTTATGACTATGATATTCTCGTACATGGCGCGTTACATATGATATTAGAATGGGACCTCTACTCGTAGGATGTGCTTCAAGCACAAACCAAGATGGAAGCTACTGGACATGTGACACTCGAGTAAATGAATGATATATGAATCAACCGATACTATATCCAAATGAGAGTGACATCGATGATACAATTATTAAAAATATTTAAAAGAATTGATAGTTACTGTTCATAACTAGGTGAACTTTCTATTTCAGTGGCTCAATCATAAAACCCCAAAGTTAAGCGTGTTTTGTCTGAAACAATTTTACATCAGGTGACCTCTTAGTAATTTTCCTAAGAAACATGTTAGTGAGGACGAAACATGTTTCCTTTGGAACAATTTTAAGTTAGGTGACCTCCTAGTAATTTTCCTAGGAGACATGTTTGGAACAATTTTAGATTAGGTGACCTCATAGTCATTTTTTCTAGAAAGCATGTTAGTAAGGATCAAACGTGTTTCTTTTAGAACAATTTCACGTTAGATGACCTCCTAGTAATTTTCCTAGAAAGTGTGTTTGGTTTGAACCGTGTTTAATTTGAGAATACTACTATAATTTTCTTAGAAATCATGTTAGTGAGAACAAAACATACGAGAACAACCCATGTCAGTGTATGGGGATCGTTGTCATATACTTCTCCTTTACTCATATGCCACATACCCACCAGTTTTCATATGGGTTCCGCTCTAAAACGGTCTATAACGTCTCAGGGTACCTTTAATTTTCTAATTTTATTACTAAAATGTTTGTGGGTTTTATGTAAATCAACCAAAAAATTATTATAGTACTATTTTGGGTTTTGTCATTTGGTTTTTGGAATTCTTTTGTCGTTTCAAAATTGTTCAAATAAAGACAAGAACAAGAAAAGGACTGAAAACTTACCCTAAAATCCGACCAAACACATGAGGATTCCAAACTAATCCACCAATCATAGTAATGAAGTTGATGAACATAACACTATTTTTATTTTTATTTTTTTAAAAAAAATTAGGGTTTTGAAGATGTCATCCCTATCAAATGACCTATTTTGATGACCTACCTAGGGAAACCTAATTAATTAACCTTAATCAAATATTATTATATTCTAAATTATTTTAAAAGCTTCTTTCGTGTAGTCTTACCAATGAGATCATTAGGGTTTTGAATTTCAACGTTAATAAATAAACATCATCCCCAAATTATTTCTCGTTTACAAGTTATTAAAATTTAGTCAATACCTATCAATTATATTATCAAACATCACGATTTTGAACTCTTATGTTTTAAAACACAACTACTAAGGAGATGTTTCACACCCTTATCCAAGTTCCGTTCCCCTCTCCAATCGATGTGGGATCTCACAATCCCCCCCTCTTAGAGCCTAACGTCCTCACTGGCATACTACCCAGTGTCTGGCTCTGATTTCATTTGTAACAGTACAAACCCACCACTAGTTCACTTTGGCCCTGACGTATTGTTGTCAGCTTCATAGTTTTAAAACGTGTCTACTAAAGAAAGATTTTCACATTCTTATAAAAAATGTTCTGTTTCCTTAATGTAACTTATAAAGTAATAATTTAAGTACTTCTATATCTAAATATTAATAACATGTATTATATGACTGTGACGTTGAATAAATACATAATATCTAAGTAGAGGCGTACTCGATACTCTTATATTATAAATATAGATATTATAGTGTAAAAAAAAAAATTAGATAATGTTTTCTTAGGTAGAAGAAAAGATTAGGGTGGGACACAATTTAACATTTCTCTATGAATTATTTAGAAATAAAAATAAGGGATGGTGATTGATGAAGACATAAAGGTTTAGAATTGAAGAGAAAATAATAACGTTGAATTATTGTTTTAAATTTAAATTTAGAAAATTAATTATAAATTAGTTTGAAGAGGTCATTTAGAATGTTAATAAAATAATTCCAATTTCCTCAAATAATTAAAAAAAATATACAATTTTAATTAGTTATATAAATTATTTTAACAATATTTTTCCCCTCTAAAAAAAATTAAATTTTCTTTTTTTAAAATTTTTATTTATTTATTACTCTTTATTTCTATTTAAATTTTAATATATATCTATTTCTTTTCTCTCACATTTAAATATTTATTCAACATTTTTTTTCTTTTTAAAAATTTTAAACTAAATACAAATGAGTTTATTAGTTCCTCTTTCTCGAAACAATTTGAATACTTGATATGATCTTAAAATATCATGGGTCAAGGTCGGTCAGTAAGATGATGGAGAATAAGCTTCATCTTCAAGAGGAAACCAGCTCGGATCACCAACTACAACCCCTACGACCCCTAAATGATCGCTCATTTGTTCATAGATCACTAATCTGATAGCCACAACAATGTTAGAGAATAAAAGGAAATAAAGGAAGTGAATCAGAGTTCTCATAGGTTTCCTAGCAACTAAATAACAGATCCAGAAGCTTTGTTCAAGTTAAAGAGTTCATAGGAATGAAAACATCAGCAGAAACATAGAGAGCAACCTTATTTCTTATGGAACATTCATAACTTGGATAGACTGCAACATGTCTGAGACAGCAATGACAAGGTCACCTGATTTGATCAAGTTTCTGGCTTTGAGCAGCAAAAATATTTTGTTGAGGTTGTTTTCCATGTCGTCTGAGAAGCTCATCCGGAAGGGTATCAAACCCCATTGCAGGTTAAGACGTCTCCTCACTGATGTCGTTTCTGTAAATGCAAAGATCGGGCAATCGGGTCGACATCGAGACAGGAGAGATGCCATGTGGCCTGTCTTTGTGTAGACGAAAATTGCATCCACCTCTAAATTATTGGCTACACAGGAATAAGCAACAGGAGCAGCATTATAAGGAAGTGAGGGATAGATGATAGTAGCATATGAAGGGATACTCAACACGCCATGTTCTATGCTGGAATTGAGTAATGACGTGAGGTAGTATTTGTGTTCTTCATTGTACCAAAGCATATAGGTCTAAACTATAGTTGTGTGATCCCACGTTCGTAGAAACTTCTCTCTAACAGACGAGTTTTAAAAACTTTGAGGGAAAGCTCGAAAGGGAAAGCCCAAAGAACAATATCTGTTAGCGGTGGATTTGAGCTGTTACAAATGGTATCAGAGCTAGACACTAAGCGATGTGCCAACGAGGAGGCTGAGTCCCGAAAGGGAGAAGACGCGAAGCGGTGTGCCAACAAAAACGCTGGACCCTGAAGGGAAGTAGATTGGGGTCCTACATCGAATGGAGAAGGGAACAAGTGCCAGTGAGGAACTGGGCCCCAAAGGGGATGGATTGTGTGATCCTACATCAGTTGGGAGGAGAACAAAGTATTCTTTACAACCGTGTGTAAACCTCTCTCTAGATTTTAAAAACCTTGAGGGAAAATCCGAAAGGAAAAACTCAAAGAGGACAATATCGGCCAGCAGTGGACTTGAGCTATTACATATATCTAAACTAGAGCATAGTTGGAGAATATGATAAAGCTTACCCATTTTAGCAGCGGAGTTGCAGATCTCTTCTAAGATGCTATCTGAGGATGAAGATCCAACTTCAGGGAGTTCCATAGGTTCATGGCGTTTCTCTTCCCTCCACCATTTCTCAATTCTTAGGCTGACATTTCTCAAAACAGCTAATGCCTTGTCAGGGTACTGGCCCATGGCGGACTCACCAGAAAGCATCAGAGCATCTGATCGCTGCCTAACCGCCTCGGAAATATCAGCAACTTCCGCTCTGGTGGGTGTAGGATATTCGATCATCGACTCCAGCAGCTGTGAAGCAACAATAACTGGTTTATTTAACTGCCTGCATAGTTGGACGACCTTTTGCTGGACTGATGGCACCTGTTCCAGTGGTATTTGAGCTCCTAAATCTCCTCTAGCTACCATAGCTCCATCTGATGCTACAATAATTTCTTCCAAGTTATTCAATGAGTCCAGACTCTCTATCTTCGCGATGATGGAAATGTCACAGCATCTCGAATTTAAAAACAAAAAAATTATTTAGAAGGCGCCCATGTACTAACACATAGTTAAGATATATATGGTCCACTAAATCCGCGAGAACCAACAATGAGTGTGAGATCCCACATTGTTAGGGAGGAGAACGAAGTATTCTTTATAAGGGTGTGGAAATCCCTCACTCGTAGACGTGTTTTAAAAACCTCAAGGGGAAGCTCGAAAGAAAAAGTCCAAAGAGACCAATATCTACTAGCGGTGGGCCTGGACCGTTACAAATGGTATCAAAGCCAGACACTGGGCGATGTGCCAATGAGGAGGCTGAGCCCCGAAGGGGGGTGGACATGAGACGGTGTGTCAGCAAGGACGCTAAGCCCCGAATGGGGGTGGATGGGGAGTCCCACATTGATTAGAGAAAGGAACGAGTGCCAGCGAGAATGCTGGGTCTCAAAAGGGGGTGGATTGTGAGATCCCACATCGGTTGGGGAATTGAACGAAGCATTATTTATAAGGATGTGGAAACCTTTCCCTAGCAAATGCGTTTTAAAAACCTTGAGGGGAAGCTCAAAAGGGAAAGCCCAAACAGGACAACATCAGCTAGTGGTGGGGTTGGGCCATTACAAATGGTACCAGAGCAAGACACCGGGTGATGTGCCAGCGAGAAGGCTGAGCCTCAAAGGGGAGATGGACATGAGGCGGTGTGCCAGCAAGGACGCTAAGTCTCGAAGGGAGTGGATTGGGGAGTCCCACATTGATTAGAGAAGGAAACAAGCGTTAACGAGGACGCTGGACCTCGAAGGGGGGTAGATTGTGAGATCCCACATTGATTAGGGAGGAGAACAAAGCATTTTTTTTATGCCTACATTGGTCAGAGATTGTGAGATCCCACAAATCTCTTCCTAGCCGACGCATTTTAAAAATCTTGAGTGGAAGTTCGAAGGAGAAAGCCCAAAAAAAACAATATCTACTAGCGATGGACTTGGACGATTACGATAAGAGGTCCATGGCTTCAGACCCAAATGGACTAAAAGAAGCAATCATCACACCACCACAATTATGCCTACCTGCCACGAGAACGTGCAGCAATATAGCTTTTGAGATGTTTAATCACTTCAGCTGACTTCACAAACGATATGGCAAGAAAATCAACACCTTCAGCAATCCCAAAATCAATATCCAACCAATCCTGGATTCATAAAACTCGCATTAGACTGGAAATACCTCATTGTATCAGGCCAATTTGCACTATTAGGTTGCACAAAAGGTTAACCTCAAATATATGGAGACAGTTGAAGGAAGAGGGAGGCGCCTACCTTAGAAGAAATTGTAGGGAGCATGGCATTACGTTCTCGAACTAGATGTCCATCCCTCCAAAACGTCAAATTAGCCCGTGGCAACAACAATCCCGGGTCGGTACACAGGCACTTAACATCAGGACCGATCTTTTCGATCACCTCAAACCTCACCATTCCACCATCAACAAGGAGGTCATCACCCACTCTCACATCTACACAATATCAATAATAATTCAAGATTGATACCAATATCATGGAACTTACTACAATAATGAACGCACATACATCCAATTCTGGGGCTATATTAGATAGTGCATGCATTCAGTAAAAGCCAGAGCGAACTTTAGATTTAGGATAGAATCAGTAACCTTCTGCAAACCCTCCATAGTTAACATTAATAGTGCGTTCTGGGAGTGTTGAATCAAAAGCTCTGACACTGAATGTCCAGATTTCACCATCCTACATAGACAAGAGCAAGCAGTTAAACATGACCCTCCCCACGTCTTCTGCTGGCTTATTTAAACCGAAGTGGGAAATCAGCAACATTAGGAAATATGCGGACCACCTTCCCGTATAATTACTTGGGAACAGAAGAAGTAAGCTAATTCATAAGTATAACTTCAAAAGACTGTAAATATCCTTTGGGCTTTCTCTCAAGGATCTAAAACATGTCTGCTACAGAAAGCTTTCCACATCCTTATAAAGAATACTTCGTTCTCCTCCTCAACCGACATGAGATCTCACAATCTACCCCTTTAGGGCCTAGCGTTCTCGCTAGCACTCGTTCTCTTCTGCAATCGATGTGGGATCTCACAATCCACCACCTTCAGGGCCCAGCATTCTCGCTGGCACTCATTCTCTTCTCTAATCGATGTGGGACCCTCCAATTCACCCCCAACGAAGCTAGTCACTAGATGGTGTGACACACTAGTAGGAGGAGTCCATAGTAGACACTTTTCAAAACATAAAATGTGTAATAGCTTTAGTGGATTTTAGAGTTCCAGGCAGAGGAAACTTGAAATCTAAACGTTTCTCAGCTTCTGAATCAACAACATAATCATGATCGCCTGTTAGGTAAGCTAGACAAATCCCAGTATTCGAATGCAGTCGGAAATTTTTTAATCTTGGGCAAAAATTAGAATGAATTCAACTGATTATCACACAATAAGATGAAAAACGATAAAGAACCGAAGAACTCACTTCCGCTTTAGCCGAAGAAGCTCCACCAAGATCACCCATGTGAATTTCACTCCCTTCAGTATCCATCATGATAGCGACCGCATAGCCCTTCTCCTCATTGAGCCTCCGCACGCGTTCAATTACCATCCGATGCCAGTCTCGAGTCCCATGGCACATATTGATCCTTGCGACATTCATCCCGCCAACAGCGAGCGCCTCGAGCTGCTCGAATCCGCAGGTAACAGGGCCAATGGTGCACACGAGCTTCGTCCTCCTGGTGCTCCTGAAGCCATTCTCCTTCAATTCAGCCTCCGTCACAGTATCGACCTCAATCGCGGTGGAATCAGACATAACAGGCACAAACTCCCTAGTAACGGAAGAGGACACAGCTCCACCTCCGACGGTGGAGCCATTTTCAGGAACCAAGACTTGGGAAGTGAAAGCAGATGACAGAGGATTGGAATCCGGAGAGGAAGAGGCTCTGATCGACGATTTTGGGAAGGAGAGAGGGAAGCGGAAAGCGGCGGTGGACGGAGAGGGTTTTGAGAGGGAGTGTTTGGAGAGAGAAATGCCGGGAGAGCGGGTGGCGGAGGTGAAAAGTTGCAGAGACTGTGTCATTGTGAGGGGAAAAGTGGGAAGTTCAGAGCTTCGGAAATGGCTGCCGGAAGATCCAGGGCCGAAAACGGCTTCAAGCTTTGGGAGTGGATGGATCGGATGAGGCTTATTGGGTTTTGAAGAATGACGTGGACGGTGCCGATTGGCTTCTCTAATTTCCTGCTTCAATGTGTGAGACAAATATGTCAGACAATACTAGAACAAAATTGGAACTTCTCATATTTGGGTCGGGTCGAGGAGTTATGTTTTGCCCGTGAGATGTTTGATCACGTCCAATACCGAACGAAACTCTTGTTTTCCGTTGCTGAGACATGCCCCTAAGGATCAAGTTTTTACAACCGAAGATCACCGAGGACCCAAGTGACGTGCCAGCATGACTAATTGAATGCCAGCACATAGCAATGCTATCAATAATTAGAGAGCATGATCCTTTCAAACGAAGCACTTTCTCGAGTGTGTGCTTTAGTTTAATCGCTGCTAGCGTACTTTGTTGCATGCTCATTTCCTCTTGCTCTTACTCTAACCATTCTCTTCGCACGATCATCAAATCAATGTTTTAAAAAATATGTCAATGTCTTCGAACAATTAACAATCGCAATTTTGATCATGTTCTTCGACATTTGGTCTACAAAGTAGAAGAACAATGTTTCCTCATTGACAAGGTATAATTGAATATCAAAAGCGTAAGCACATTACTAAAACAAAAATTAAAGACGTATTGAAGTTAGAGATCTTTAAATAAGTCGTGTGCGGGAGTTATGAATAGAGGTCTAGAGAAAGAGTGAGATCGAGATGAGCTATAACTAGGCACTAGCTTGGAACCATGGCTAAAACGAGAGCTATGATTAGGGGCATAGAGCTAAAGCTAGCACTCGAGACAAAGCTATTACAAATATCGACAGGAAATGTTCAAAACAGTCGTATTTTGCACAAAAACTCTGGATCGTTTCGAATAAGAACACTAAAAAAATGCACTTTAATTGATCCCTAATATTGCAGAAAAGAATGTGTCAAGTGAAAGGGAAGAGCTTTATGGAAGGTGTTTTCATAAATGAATACAACATTTGCTTTAGAAAAACTATTCACAATGTACCTAAGTTGAACGAAGAAACTCTTCAAAGCAGCCATGATCATCACAACATAACAATCTCCCAATCTGTATAAAAATTCAAAGAGAAATCAAGAACACCATCACAACACCCAGCATCTGCAACCTTTAGAATCCGGCGGACCTTCGAACCATCGATCCCATAGCGGGTTTAGAGGGCCACGGGTTCTGCAGCCAACCAAAACGAGATCGAGGAAGATTTTAAAGATCTGTTGTTGAAGACATAGCAATGAATTTAAAAAAGAAAGAACAGAGATCCTACTGTGGGAGAAGGGGGTCTGGTCTTGTTTCCACGTTGCTCAGCATTCTGCAAGGTTCAAAACACAGCAATTTCACAAATGAATTGGAGATATGTTCTATGGATACTCAATCAACAGATCCCTAATGAATTATATCATGCTTACTCTTTGCATTTTGTTGATGCCTTGTCCAGTTTATCAAGCTGTTCCAGTTCTTCCTGCATTCGAATTCATAATCGTACAAAATTAATCCCCCTTGGACCCGATACGAGTATATCCATGCTAATAATCATAATCAAAAAGCCCGTTATAATTTAAACTTTTGAATCTAGTGGTGATTTAATACGCGTTCTAAGTTTATATCCATCGAATGCTATTCATATTCGAAAATGACATAAAATTCCTCTCAATCTGTTCTAAATTTGATTTACTCTAATAGCAGAAGCTTTCAAGATTGAAGGTGATTCTTGGGTAGACATGTAACAGCTCAAGTCCACCGCTAGCAAATATTGTCGTCTTGGGACTTTTCTTTCCGGGCTTCCCCTCAAGGTTTTAAAACACGTCCACTAGGGAGAGATTTTCACACTCTTACAAAGAATGCTTCGTTCCCTCTCCAACCGATGTGGGATCTCACAGTCTACCTCCCTTGGGTGCCAGCGTCCTTACTTGCACACCGCTCAGTGTCTGGCTCTGAAACCATTTGTAACAACGCAACCTCACTACTACAGATATCGTCTTCTTTGGGCTTTCCCTTCTTTCCTTCCCCTCAAAGTTTTAAAACGCATCTCTTAGGGAGAGGTTTCTACACCCTTGTAAGGAATGCTTCATTCCCCTCTCCAACCGACGTAGGACCCCGCAATACAAACGTTCATGAGAGGAGTACAGGTACATATTTGGCTTCTAATGGTCACAAGGAACAACATCCTTCATTTTGTTCTTTACGATTGAAACAGAAGATTTATCTTGAGCCAACACTTCTCCTTTAACCACCATAATTCTCAAGCTATGATAACAAAGATAATCTGTTCGTCTTTGAATGTTACTTCTGAGCATCAACATTTTCATCCAATCTACAACTATGGAGTGGGAATCAACATCCACAACAGTAACATTCACAGTTTCCCTTCAGAACTATCAGAACAGAATCAAAGTAAACAAGAACACCAGCACAAAACAAGGCAGCAAAACAGTTCAGAAACATTTGAAATGGAAGAACAGAGCTCATTCAACAACAGTTCCAGCTCCAATCCAAATTTCTCAAGTACCCAATTTCAGAAATGGCGTTTTAAACATTTAGGAAGTGATAATTCAACACTAAACATTCAAAAAAGCACACAATCAGAACCCTCAAACGAAAGAGAAAAAAGGGACTAACCTCCAGAATCCTCGCTTCTTGCTCGAGCCGCTTCACTTCAGCCTGTATCCTATGTTTTCCTCTGGTATCAATCGAAGAAGAAGAAGAAGAAGAAGACTGAACCCGTTGGGCTATCGGGCTCGTCGATTCGGACATACCCGATCGCTCCTCCAATTCCAAGAACCAACAATCCAAACCCTAAAGTTGGATTCTACTAATAATAAGTCAAGAAAAGATCAAAGAGACGCCATTAGAGACGAAAAGAATGAAGACCCACAAGCGATTATGGCTATTCCTTGAACCCCTTTTGCTGTAATGGATGGATCTGAACAGAGAGAGAAGACAAGTTAGCAGCCGCTAAGGGTCAGTTCTTTTGGTGGGCCGCTTTATTCAGCCTTGTTTTGACCCTTTCAGGCGAGTGGAGAAGAAAGATATATAAAAAAATTCCAACTGTGTGTAGTTTTTTTGTCTGTTTATGTCCCTTTTTTCTTCATTCTTGTCCATTCATTAAACTATACAGAGCAAGTACACAGCACAGTAGAAGAATGGGGACGGCAATGACTGAAATTCGAGGCTAAAATTAGGGTTCTAAGATTTTGAACAGGTTTTTGCAGGTGCTTTGTTTTGGAAGTACTTTGGAATATCAAATCTTCAAAACAGTTTGAATTACTCAGAAACTTTGTTGAATTATTCAGAAACTTTGGCATACTCATCTTTCATTCAATAAAATTCAATAAATTTCACAAGTTTTTTTTTTTTTTTTTTTTTTTTTTTTTTTTTTTTTTTTTTTT